TTATGTGCATGCTGTAGTATCACTCCCGCCTCCTTCGTTCTCTCTTTTGCCGGACGATCTCCCACTCCATCTTCCTCATGCTCCAACGGTGCATCCCTGTGACGTGCACTTTTGCTCCCTGGCGCGTCTCCAGGGACGAAGAAATATACGACTCGCTCCGCAAGAAAATGGCGTAATTATATATACGAAGGCGGGAAGAAGGAGACGGGGTGTAAATCACAACGGGGCGTGCGGAGAGACCTCGATGGGAGTTTCGCATCCGCCGAAAACGCGATTTGCCGAAAAAGAATTCCGGAAGCGTCTTCTTTCCCCCAGGAATCGGACAATAATGAAAACTTGAAAAAGAATGTTGTTATATTCGTTTTCTTCTTCAAAATGTATTTATAGTGGAAGTACTATTTTAGTTTTTTTTTTTAAGATAATTGTACGTCCATCATCCCTTAGAGAAATAAAAAATCTCTAATTTGCCAAGAATACGCCGCGTTTTAAATCTCTTCGCCAAAGTGACTTTTTGTCTTATTTCGTTCTTCATAATCGCGAGAAAACAAGTTGGCGTAGCGTCACGGACAACCATCTGCGGTGCGAGGTTCAATATCCTCCTCATTACGTGGTGGCGTCACTTCAGAAGGGAGCCGGCTCGCGTGACTTGCTTCTTGATAACGTGACTGACAGCCGATTCAAGTCTCGCGGTTTATGCCATGACGATACGGGTGCAACGAGCTCGACACGACGTCGTCGTCGTCGTCGTCGTCGTCGTCTTTCGTAAGAAACACATTTGAATTGATTCGCGCTAATGTAACACTTTTTACGTAAGCTTACAAGAAACTACTATTATTACACGAATTATTCTTTAGCATCGATCACAATCAATCAAAGTCTATGCTCCGGACTTCGATTGTTTTGGCGGAAGCTTACGCGCAAATGAAGGAAAAATACCACCAATTCGTCTTGTCCGCGAACTTGTTACAAAAACACTACTTCGAGTCTCAAGGAAATACTCGTGAATCATAAAGTTGAAAAGTTTCTTTCTTTTCCGTTCCCTCGAGTTTTTGGTTGTTCCACAATTAACACACGCGACTTAATTGGATGTATATTTTTTTGATTTCCCTTCTTTGTGGAAGAAGAGAAAAGAAGCACTCCATTGATCGTGTAATGGAGGTCCCAACTTTTCCCGTTCTCACATATACCGCTGGGAGGCTAAAGATCGTCATAATTAACGAGATGACACACACATACACACATGCGCGCAAAAAAATCCCGCAGAAATTTCCTTCTTATTTCCGACGCGAAAGCTCCGAGTTCGCAGATTCGACGTCGGAGACAGCGGAAAAAATTATACGTCACGAGTGCCGGGAAACTCTCTCGTATCTCATAATTAGCGAGCGGCATTCTCAATTATTCTAATGAGGGTAATGACGTCATAAGACCGCTCTGAGAGAGCGGAATCGACTGCGAATATTACCGCGCGGGGTCTGCACGCGAATTTTTTTCTTTTTTTTTACCTCTGTCTGTCCCCCTTTTCCGGCTTTTCTTCCAGCGACGTTTTGCGAAGCTTTATAGCCGGAACCTTTTCACGCGGATTTTCCGTCAGCGCGTGAAGAACGCGGCGCGTGACCAAAAAACCTAACCAGTTTTTTTTTGACGGCACAATTGTTTCGGAGGTCAAAGACTTTTGACACACACACACACACACACACACACAAACGAGAAGAGACACGCGTGTGTGAATGTTTTCACATTATACTGTGTCAGGATGTTCGAGTATCCGCGCGACATCAAAAGTCGCCGCACGGCCGGATGCACGCGATAATAACGAGGTCGTTATTCCTGATATGCAAAGTGGAAATAAATGTGGAATACAGGTTACGAGATCAACGATCATAATTTATGATTTTCGCGCGCTCGTTACGCTTGATAACGCGATAACCGTGGCGCTACACATAGTAATTTCTCTTTTTATCTCATATTCAATTTTCCAATTTTAATATATTTTTTAAATCGTATATAAATTTCTTGTTATAAATAATAATAATAATCTTATATAACTGAAGAACTGTAGATCATACGCGCGCGCTATATTTTTCGTTCTAAATATCGTTTTCGTGTTTTTCACGTAAATTAATTAACTCCTAATGCACTCTCTCTCTCTCTCTCTCTCTCTCTCGACTTCCGTAAGAAAACATTGCGCGTGACTTGTAATCAGACGTTGAAGAATTTCGCATAAGTATACGCGCCCGCGTCGTCTCGGTATTGTTGACTCGTCAAGAGGGGAATAGGAACGAGACCGAAGGGAGAACTGAACGAGTCCCCGGTGCAAGTTCTCCACGCAATGCTCGACCAAACGTGGGGGGCGCCACGACGAGGTCGTGTGAGGGCGAGAAAGGTTAACGCAAATCTTTTCCGTGCGAGAGTCCGTACGGAATATTGATTCGCGCGTCGGTATTAGAAGTCTTCTAGCACCCCGTAGGTTTATACGTCCGAGAATGAGAGAACGTACAAGTTATCGAAGGGAAAATATAGTTTAGAAAAAATAACGCACTCGTTATATTCTTAGCGAGAGAACATCTCACACGAAACTAACGCACACAAATTCTTAGTTTACAACTACTTTGCGTCAAAGTTCAACACTTGCTTAAAATTTTCAACGCTGTATTAAAGGTTAAAGTTAGCAACACACACACACACACACACGCACGCATACACAGGTTTAATTTTAAACACTGACGTTTGATATTCGAAGTTTGAAATAGATCTCTGCGAGAATATACGTGGTTCAAACTAGGTTTAAAACTTAAAAATGCAATAACTAGGTTTAAAATAAAAAAAAATAAAAACAAAAAAAAATATACCGAATCTGAGAAAAGAAACAACTCAAGCAACTTTACTGTGGAAATAGATATATCTATCGTGTATTATAATATAACACAAACCATCCCCCATTGTATTGCACGCCTTCCGCACAGCGCGACGACGAAGTAACCACCCTCTTGTTGCCAACCGGGCATCGATCCAACGAGCGACCAAGTTTCTCCTCGATGTACCAAAAAGCACGTCTCCCCCTTTCTTCCTTCCGATGTGCTCGTTTTCTTCCACTGGTGGTTTCCTTTTCGGAAAGGATGAGCGCGAGACGTAGAAACAGCACTCAGGGAACATAGAAACGATCGCGAAGATCGCGGCTATTGTTGTCAGACACAGACGTGCTCGAGTGCTCTATTTTCGTAATGATCGAAATACGCTCGTTAAACGTACTTGGATCAGAGAGAAGAGATGGGAAAAACCTGACCCTTCGAAATCCAATAGTTGCGATTTGAAAATTCGTCCGAAGATCTTGTTTTTGGAAGAAAATTGTCGCGCGAAACAAAACGCGTTTCACAAAAAAGTACTCGCACGAAGCAAAATAATGAATATTAATTAGCGTAAGGATCTTTGCCAGAAAGAAATCTCTATTCGAAATCTACTCGAATAAGAACGTAAGGCTTTTGACTGGACGCGTACGTGCATGCGCTTCCGCGAGCTGCGTAAGATCTCGAGGAGAAAAGTGCTTTTGAATTTTCCATAAAGTCACCATAAAACATATAGGCAAATATAGATGAGAGTAATGGAACATGCACTAAAGCAAATGTACACACACGGCGGTTACAACGTTACGGAATAGCAGAAATGCATTTGGCAAACCGGATGCACTTTTCACGAAGTGCTTTTCATACGTTTCTCATTCGACAATCCTCCTTGGGATATTTCAAAACGCGAAAAATACGCGAGTGAAGTATTTATTCTCAAAAATTGCACACAGAAGAGAGATATTTGCGCTGGTAATTTTACGCAAAATTTGACGTAATTCGCGAGTAAGTTTTCCTCGAGAGAGAAACGTTCTCTTCGTTCTTTTTATATATTTTATGTATTTTGTAAAACACGTTTGCGATTTCTGCGAACAAATTTCGCGCCGATACTCGTGACGGTTCACCTTGTGCCAGATCTCGGAATCGGCGAGAATTCTCCGTTTCGGTCTAATTTATTGTCAAGTGCAGCGTGTGAGTCACACGAGAGATCGGACGTTTCACGCGCACATAAGTGACACGCGCGCGCGCGAGCGTCGTTGTCGTTGTGGTTGTGCGCGTGAGCGCCACCGGACAACGCCGTAAACAAAACGTGCCTCTTAGCGAGAGAAGAGTGCAACGACCCGCGCCATTGTGTGTGACGTAGCTTTCGGATCAGCTGATGGCGCGAGAGACGCGCGTCGTTCGCTTATCGCGAGGCGCACCGATTGCCTGGCACCGATGCTTCGTTCGAGACGCTCGGTCGGTTGTCGCGACAAGGACGCCTTTGTCCTGTTTTCACGTCCGAGAGAATGTGTGTACATATTCAAACATATCTTAAATATTGAAATTTATCTCTTTTTAGTTTAGTTTTTTTCTCCTGTAACGTGTCGTATCAACCAACAAAGTATTTTGCGCAGCAAAATCTTGCATTATATTCGGAAACGTATTTCTCTTTCGCTCGTCCAACAAGCGAGATATCACGTTTCTGTTACGTGTAACGTCGTGAAAAAAATGTACAACATTTTTCGCGGATAAAAAACAGATTTCTCAATAATAAAATATACGTTATATTTGCTGTTCTCCAATTTTCGCAAGCGGACGTAACAAGCCTCCGATAATTGTGTTTCGTGTCGTAACGCGTACCTGACCACGCCGCGTGTAAACGACACGGGGAAAACGTTAAGTTAGGTTACGTCCTAACCATAAAAACAGAGAGACTGTTGCGAGAGACGGGGAGCGTACGAAAGCTTTCACTCTCGCACTGACTCATCGCGATACGTGCTAATTAGATGATGTTACACCCCTTTCCCTTCTATTTCTCATCTCGCGCGCGAGACCTCGGCCTTTGTCGTCTCTCTTATCGACGTGTATCTAATAATTCCGGTTTCCTCTCTCTCTCTCTCGCAATAATCGACTCGCGCACAAAGACACATTGGTTAACATTGAACATCGATTTCTTACCTTTGTGACTAAGCAACGAGCTCCGTCCGGAGGAGAACGGCGTCCTTTTCTCGCACAGAGTTGTCAGGATTCAAGTTTCTCCGTCCTTTTTTTGCGACTCCCTTTCTCTCTCGTATTCGCTATATGGAAATGTCCCTGTATTGATGGTCCTGACGTCCAAACATGGGAATCCTGCCGATACCTGAATCCGATGACACAATCTTCTGCCGTAGAAGACTGAGGAGACTCATCGATGAAGAGGGGAGAGGGATTTGTTCGCGAACGAACGGTCGTCTCGTCAGCTAAGCCGGACGTTCGAACGTTTTCGATCTTTCGTATTTTGCATTTCTTAGTTCGACAGCGAACTGTCGACAAGGCGAACGAAAGAGAGACATAGAGAAGAAGAGACATGCGTATACATATACATGTATACACACTTACACATACACACACACACTCACACAGGTATCTATAGAGACAAACCACCGATCGAGCGAGCGATCGAAAACGGAGCGGGCGATGGAAATCACTGTACGCGAAAATTGGAGCGAATTTTTGGATAATACACCAGACGACGACGACGATGCACGTGCGGACGAGCACAGCGCGGATAAAAATAAACTGTCTGGCGAGACTTGTACGGAACGACGAAGCGATGGCCGATGGCCCGGGTGCACACACAATAGACCCCCCCAACGACACTCGACACTTCGCCGCCGTTATCGGCCTTACGCGGGTCGGATACTCACATGACGAGACGCGAGACGATCGACGATATCATGTTAACGGGTCTTGCGGCTCGACGAGACACGCGCGAACGGCTTAGAAACGTACGATTAAATGCGGACGACCGACGGTTAGCACCGATGCTCACAGGTCAGCCATGTTGAACTGGCAGCTGGCTGGCTGCTACTGCGCCTGTGACGTCACGGCGTGTTTTGGTCACGTGACGCGTCTCAGGTTCGTACGGTTCGTGACTAGGAGCGCTTTAATCGACGCGATGCGATTTTAATTTTCTTTATAAGGTTCTCGTTTTTGACACGAACGTAGATAAGAGATTGGAGATTAATACGCGAAGTACAAATCTGTTTCTCTATCGCTACACAAATGACTTCAAAGAATTTTTTCTCAAGAATTTACACAATAATACGCGTCTTGGAAGTATTTTAATGTTCAGAGAAGTATTGTTCTAGTATAGTGAAATTGTAAAATTGACTACGGGATTGGCCAACTCGATCAATCAATCGTTGCGATTGGTCGACTTTTGCGAAGATCGTATTATTGTTGTCACATAGTGCAATCGTGCAATCGCATTGTGTGTTTTGTAATTCAACAATAACCGTTAACTTTACTCACACACATATATTGCGCTGAACTATTGATGTATTTGAACATTTATTTAAGCGATAAGAGAGAGATGTGCGTATTTCTCTCACATATTTTACCAACGGCTCCAAAAATCGCAACCCGTAAAACGTTTGCCCGGTGGCTCACCGCAACCGTGTAAACACACAAATTCTCTAGAGAGAGAAAAAAAAGGAAGAAAAATAGGGTTGAGAAAAGAAGAAAAAGAAGGTCAAAAACATCTTATTGAAGAAACGCGTCGGGAGAGCCGAGTGATAAACAAACAACTCTTCAGATAAAGAAGAAAATAACATTCGACCGTAGAGAAAATCTACAAAATAATACGTTGACGAAAGAACTTTCGCGCGGGTACACCAAAACATGCAGCAAGAATTCTTCGCACGCTCGCGTGGTCCTCTCACAAATTTATTATAAAAAAAATACTACTATCAAGAAAAAAAAAACGACTTACACGCATTACGTCAATGCGTGAGTGCAATGCGAGATACGTGGAGCAAGTGTATACATACATACGTGTGTGTGTGTGCATCGTGTACGCGGCAAGAGAGAAGGCAGACGGCGGATTCCCCCAGACGCCCTAAACCCCCTCGCACACTCGGCGGCGTCCCACTCGCGCCACCCGCGCGCGCGACCCCACGCGCCTCGCGGTCGGTGCTACGGCCCTAAAGCACCCTACCCGCGTCGTAACTCTCTCGCGCGAATGTATAGCAGCGAGAAGCGAGGCGCGACGCAGCGCTGCGTCGACGGAGAGCGAGAGGACGAGGCGAACCAGGAGAAGGACGCGGGAGAGAAAGAGAGATAGAGAAAGAGAGAGAGCGAGCGCGCCCTCACGGAGGGGAGGTGACGGACCGCGCCGTGGCAGGAGTAGGTAAGCCAGGCGGCGGCGGTGACGGCGGGTGGGAGAGGGCGCGCGTGCGAGGGGAGGGAGGGCGCACGGCCGCGGGAAGGAGCCGTGCCTCCCGCCGTCCGCCCGCAGTACGCGCTACGCGATATCACTGGCCGGTCATGTGTGTGTTACTCTCACGTTCACACTGGTACCGTTCGGAGTTCTTCGTTATACCGCGCTGGGCAGTGTTTGCAAACCACCGCCGCCGTGAGACCGTCAACCGCCCCGCGTAGTGCGTGGTTGACCGGTGCTACACACTTGGTGCGCGCCCCGGAAGTTGAAAAGTGCGGTCCGGTTGGTTCTCATTTGCGCGCGGACGTCAACAGTGTATTCGGCGGCAAAGAAAGAGAGAGAGACGAAAAGTATACAACAGAGTCTGTCTCCCTTTTCTGTCTTTCCGTTTATCTCCTGTGACATCGGTCGTTGCCGGAGTCGGGAAGATACATATAACAGAAACAAAAAAAACAGAACGCGCGCACGCAAGCAGAGAGAGAGAGAGTGAGAGAGAGGAGAGAGAGAGAGAGAGAGAGAAAGAGAGAGGCGCGGAAACATCGTTGAAGACGCGCGCACCGGGAGAGCAGAGAAAACATCGTGAAGTAAGGCGCGAACGGCGATCACGCCGGACAGAGATAGAAAGAGAGAGAGAGAGAGAGAGAGAGAGAGTAAGAGAGAGAAAACGATACGTTTGAGTCGCGCGAGTCTCGTGGCTGTTTTCGTGGAGAGAAGCTCGCGCGCGTCCAAGGAGGAGTAAAGGAGTGGCTGTGGAGATATTCGCAAAGGGAAAGAACGAGAGAGAGAGAGAGAGAGAGAAAGAAAGAAGAGAGAGGGAAAGAGAAAATACGAGTGACCGGTCGTCGCCTCATGGCCCTGTTGTTCGATGGCCCTTCGTGATCGCGGCAGGAAGAGATCGGTCGCGGAGTGGTGTTTCATACCGCCGAGAAAAAGTGCTCGTTTGTGACGAAGTTCGTCGTCTCGCGTCCCCTTCCCCTCCGTTCGTTGTGTTTGTTTTCTCTTTCGAGACGGCAAAGCACACTCCCCTCGGAAAAATTGACGGAAAAACCTGGTCGACGAGACGGAGCAGAGGCAGAGTGAGTAAGCAGGAGAAAAGAGGAGAAGAAGAAGAGGAAGAGGAAGAAGACGGAAGAGAGGAGCGGAACACAGTGCGAGGGAGGAAGGCAGGGGACGGAGACGTAGGAGGGAAAGGGTGACTGGCGGGCCCGGCTGGCGATCCGAAGTCGCGGATTCGGCACGCCGCGGTTTACCGATCCGTAATATGGCGTACAAGTTTCGCGAGGAGATCGTGGGAAAGAGGTTTCTCTCGGTGAGTGGTTTCACCAAGCTGAAGGTGAATAAGATTAGTGAGTGGGGTTGGCGTGCGGGGGTGATACGTGCCGCCAGTCACAGGGATAACGGCTGTCCTGATCTCCAGGTGAGTGATCTTCTCTGTTTCGATTTTTTTTTCTCGCTATAGAAATCGCGCGGAAACGCGCCGCTATACGGAAGAAAACGAGGCGCGTTCGCGAGAAACGAAGTTGTCGTCGTCGTTGGTGACGCGGGTCGATGCGTGTGTACACACATACAACGCGTGTGTATCTCGATCTAGCGCCGCGCCGTTTGTGTTTACATTACCGTGCGACCTTTCGTGTGCACGCCCGAAGAACGCTCGCCACACAAGCGAGTTACGATGGGTTACTCTACTTTTTGAAATACGCGAAAAAACAGACCCGCCTGACTCGGGGAAAGTCACTTCGACGACCGCGTGTTATTCACGAGAGATGTAGAAATTGTCATGGTTCTCTAAAGAGTTCAATTTTCGATACAATGCGAGAGTACTTATTATTGGATCTCGACTTTTTTTCGCAGAAGAATATATATAGAAAGTATATAATAAAGTATATTTCTAGCACTCTTTCTCTCTCACATAGTTTACTTGCTTAATGACAATTTCTCTCAATCAGCAATTTTATAAAAAAAAAAAAAAAAAATACGCTCGTTGTATGTTGTTACGTTTATAAAGTTCAAATATTGATTTATAATTACGTGTATTAAGGGAACCACTTTTGATAACAAATAGCAACATTATTAACGTTCGTTTAGAAATAGCAAATTTCTATCGATTCGCTGTTGCGCGTGTGTGCGTCAACGTTTGCCAATATTTGAAACAAAAATAAGTCAATGTCAATACAAAGAAAAAATATCTTTTTTTGTGTTTGTATTTTTAAGTGACGTTCATTGAAACGTTAACGTTCTATAAAAGATTCACATAATGATGATTTGTATACACTTTTGTTTTAAATGCCGATCTCGCAAACGTACGAATCAATATTTTATTGATTTTCACGTACGTATTTGAAAAATCCGAGCATAATTACATAAGTATGTCCGACAGATCCTTCATTTCTTTTCAAGTCAAGTCATAACTATTTCAGTTTTCGAGGACATTGCCAACTCGCGTATCTACACTGTTACTGTTTACACGTGCACACACGCCTGATGTGCACGTTTCGCGTTACTTGGCCGCTAATATTTGCCAATTATAACTCGTGGCCAAAGGCCGCGATTATTATGTCGGTCGAGCGTGAAATCTCGGAAAATCTCGCGGCCTCGCTGGCTGTATTTTTTTTTTTTTTTTCGTGGTTGTGTGCGTCTCTCGCGACGTCAAAATTCGTAATATTCAATTTCGGAAGAGACCGAATTGCGTGTTCGAGAAGTAATCGTTTTCTCTCATCCGTTTCGTTACGTAACCGACCGAATTTTGGAACGCTCGAACACACGCGGAATTAATTTGATACTTATCTCTTACGTAATAAAAGAAGCAGTTGGCCTCGGGTGTCATTAATTGGCCAAAACAATCATCTGTGGACGATAACACCGCAAGAACATCGGCTTAACGCACATCACCATTATAAATAGTACATCTTTGCGCCGAAAAGGTTTTTCGTGGAAAATCCACAAGCTCTGAACTAAAAACAATTTGTTTCAACTTTTACGTGGCCAATATTGCATTAATGCATCGAGAAGGCGCGCGTTAGCGCAAATCCTTTCCGTATTTTATCAAAGTTATCTCTCTTCCGGGAGAAAGAGTAAATTTTATTTCGACCTGTTGTAACACACATCTCGTGTGTAATATAAATTACAACCCGTTAACGGGAGCGAGATATGTTGAATAACATTTACCGTGTGTGTATATATACATATATATTTTATTGTTACTAATGATTTTCCGGCAGAACGGAAATAAAGCTAATGGCGTTGTTACCAACATTGTTTCCACGAAACAATATTATAATGCGTAAACATTTACATTCATTTTATAGAGATTTGTTTCCTCTTTTAGCGACGAACATTAAAGGTATCATTAGAATATTGATAAACAGAAAGCAACGCACGTGTATAATAATAATAATAATAATAATAATAATAATAATAATAATAATAATAATATTTTTTATTTTTATTAATAATAATATTTTTTTTTTTTAAGTACATATTTGTGAGATTAATTTTTTTTAAATTAAATAACATCCGGTACGACAAAAATTACATGTACACCATATCTCGTAGATTTAGATATTCACGTAAACTGTGTCGCTCAGCCCACAGCGACTGTCAGTCCCGATGCAGTCCCTCTATCGATCTGCGACACAATTAATAATACCAGTACTTATTCGTCGCGTTCATTAGCGAGTCGCAAACGGTTTCAACTGCCTTTAATGGCCCTCGCGACGCGTCTGCAAATTTATCCCAGGCGCCAAAGAGAATTCAAACATTCACCCCAAGTGAATTTAGTTGACATCTGTTTAGTATTTGCCGTGGGGTCAGCGACTATAAACACGATTATATATTCCGGGGTCATCGTCGCGTGTCTCGCAGGCCGCCTTCGTTTTCCGGTTTCTTGTCTCAAAAAATGTTCTCTCTCTCTCTCGCTCGGGTTTCTTGCAAAAGCGCGTCGACATATATGTGCCGCGGTGAAAGTTATATCCAAGTTGTCGTTTGTTTTGAATTTCGCGCAATGACAATCTTGACGCGCGCACACGTAAACACAAAGCGTAAAAGAGGCAGGGTGTTCAAAAAATAAACAAAATATAGTTTGTCTCGCGAAAACAAAAAACCTCGCGCTCCGTTTCTCTCTTTCTTTGCGTCAACGATGTTGACGATAAAGAGAAGCGGAGGATACCTTGACGTATCGACAAGTCGTTGAAATATCGAACGCGGGAGAGAAAATAGGTGTTTTATCGATAAGGGCGTGTGTATATGTGACTTGCGCGCGCGTTCTCGTCTCACCTTGAAACTTCTCTAACTTTAGACGTGAAATGATGCATAACTCGACAATGTATACTATAAATCGCAGGAGAGAGACAATAAAATGTCTCTCGCGCGGTATCACCTAAAGCGTTTCTTTTTTAAACGCTGATCGATCATTTTATGTTATGAATAGTAATAAGAAACTGGGTATTTTTCAATAAACTTTTTATATTTAGGTTTTCTTTTGCCGATTGTTGCAAATGTGGTGCGACATCGCGAGCAGATTTTTTTTTGCACACACACACACACACACATCGCATTACTTGTCTATAAATTCTGTCATATTGTTTCGGTGTCGGGTTTCCTCGCGCACCTGTCCCGACACGAAGGTACCGTTACACTCGGTGCACGAAATTACACGAAGCGCCTCGAAAGAGCGCGGTGACGCGGCGATACCTGGAACGTGTGCATCGGTCAGGAAGAAATTTCGTGTGGTCGGTTATAGAGTACAAGGGAGACTGTTACAGGGCACCAGAGAATTTGTGGTGGTACCCCCGAATTATCGAGAATTCGCGATCGCGCTGCAGGCTCTGAAATTTGCGGTTCACGAAACCGCCGCGCACCGACCACATACCGCGCACCTAACACTTTCGGATAATAATTTGTATAGCGGGGCGATGTTTTGTTGCGCTCGTCGAAAATTACTGGCGAAATTCCGGGTCAAACCCCAAGAGAGAAGAAGAGAGAGAGAGAGAGAGAAACACGGGGGTGTTCGCAAATTTGCGACGATAAACACTCGCACGTGCAAAACTGACAAAAATTTTTTCCGCGAAATTCATTTTGATAGTGATACAAGTTTCGAAATACGTTTATGTAGAATACACTATTATCCCAATGAGATGCGAGAACAAGATTCTCTGTCTCGAAGATATCCAGACTTTGCAATTCAAAATAAACAAAAATATTCGTCACGGATTAAAATGCGTGTTTGTATGCGCGCGCGCGTGCCTTTGCGCAAGCGATTGTGCGTACAAATATCGTTAAATGCTCTGTATGCGTAGATTCTTTTTTTTTTATATTACAAAACATTATTTCTGTCATTACAACGTATTGCACTTTATCTTATCAAGAGAGAAAAAATTTGTTCTCAAGTCATGGTCACATAGTGTCCGTAATGAACTTTTCGTATCGCAATAATAAACGTTACGTGTTACTGTGCTTTGTTAGCATCGTTTTTGTTTGCATTGAGCGAATCATTGGGTTAAAAGGTTTTGAACATTTTTGTAATATTGATAAAAGCAATAACTAAGAGATATATCGGTTGATATCGCGATTTTTGTGAAAATATCGCGTCGTTGGACTGTATATTTAATATCTTTGATTAGTTATTTGACAGACACTTTTGACGAAAGTCTACAAAATCTTGATTTTATTACACTCGCATTCGCGTCGTACGTAACGATCGAAGTAAATATTTACGTAAAGATCTAATCTCTTCGATGTGCGCGTTGCGAAAAATTAAATTGTATAATCTAATTTTCTTACGAAAGAGACTGCGCGCGCGCGTGCACACACACACACACACACATACAGCGCGTGATTCTCTGGTGAAAACAATCTCTCGGGAAAATCTCTTTGGGATTAAAAATCCCAAAATGTGTGAAAAGGGCGATCGCTGCCGATTAGACGGTCCGCCGATTAAAACTTCGCTCGTTTTCTTTCTCTCTTGACAATCTACCGTCGTCTACTCTCATTAAACCGTTCGGAATTCCACACATTATTGGCGTGAGCACACGTGCTACCGGCCGACCGAAGCTTATCAGTTATCGTCGGCGGCAAATTGATAGAACATTCTTTCGCCGATCGTGATCGCGTGACGATCCTCTGATAATTTGAAAAAAAAAAAAAATTCATTTATTACGACGAATTATTTCGAGATAAATATATGCAAGTGCAAAATGAACATTTGCGCAATACCGCGAGTATCTTTCTTCCAGGTCGCTCTCTCATCTTGGTATCTTTTGAAATGTTTTATTCTCGTCTATCTTAATACTCGTTTGCGTTAATATTTCACAAAATTGTTACACATTAATATTTTCTCTCGACGTGCAGAAAATTAGTGTTCATTAATATTTTGCAACAACACACATTTCGTTACGTATTAATATCTTGTCGACGTGCAGA